GTGTTCTTGCTCAGACAAATCCCTGGCCAGGGTCATTCAGGTTGAGAGAGAAGGGTTTCTCCGGGAGAATCCGATTAGAGCGAGACTCGAGTAGAAACTGTATGGGTCTGACAGCACCATGCTCGATATACGGTCTCTGGGATATTAGAGGGATGAGGGACTATAGGTACACGGTAACTGAGGACAGACAGGTCCAATGGATTAGATTCCCTTGTATCGTCTGGGGACTACGGTGTAGTGGCCTAGTACGTCCGTAGTCGATAAGTCAAGTGAATTATTATAGAGATAATAATTCACTGAGTTAGAAGGAGTTCTGACAGGTATGACTCACGGCCAGCTCGATATTGGGCCTAGAGGGTCACACACATATGGTAGGCATTGCGATGAGTAGAGGTTCAGATATGAGATATCCGATGGAGCCCTTGTCTTATTGGATGCAGATCCAATACCCACTAGGGGAGGACCCATTAGGGTTTGACAAGGGACCTCTATAAATAGGAGGGATTCAGAGCCTCATGGGCTAGAGCCTTTGCATGTCTTTCCTATTCTCCTCTCCCTCTCCACCTCAGAGCAGACCTGGAGTTTTGAGGAGCGTCGTTGCAACCCTGTTGTGTAGATCACCGCTAGAGAGGAGGACGCTTGACCTCCTTCACCCTCTCCTAAGGATCTGCAAGGAAACAGGGATATACGATCTCCCTAGGTAACACAACCTACTCTATACACAGTTTTAAGTTTCGCGGATTTTGCGCACCAATCTTCGCACGATGACGAACATCTCTTTGGGAATCGGGGATTTTGTTTTCCTATTTTTCCGCTGCGCATATGATGTCGCCACCAAGATTTCCCAACATGTGCTCCTACCCAAGAAAAGAGGATAACTCAAGCTTCAAAGGGGCTTTATCAAGAATACCGCCGATGTAATTTTTTTACCTATGATGATCTCATCTAGTTCGGAGTCAAGTAAGATCCCCACCATGGAAGCAAGATGTAGCTCGTTCAAATCACCCTCAATCTTAGCCAATGAAAAAAGATAACTTATTCAAGTCAAACCCACATCAGTACATAGCTTGGTCAAGTCCTAGTCTAAACAAGACTCAAAGCTTAAGAAAAGATGGAGATATTGCCTTCTCAAGGTATAGAAGAAACCCAGCCTCATGGGAAGTTAGATCATAGTATAATTCTATCACCAGGAGAGATCCTTTTAATCTATGGCCACCAAGGATCTTTCTTAAGATGTTCCAGCAAGATCCTCGATATCCAACTAGTCTAGAGCTTGCTTTAGCCAAGAGAATTAGAGGAGAAAGGAAAGGAGGTATTATTGTAAGCATAAAATCTATAATATATTATATTAAATACATAAATAATATTTTATGCCAGGACTAAAATCAAATAATTAGATCTGGTTTAACGATGCGTACCTTTTGATGCCATCTGAAAAGAGATCTCTGTTTAATCTACAACGGTATCGTCTTTAGATCTAAGATCACTGTCAATCTGTAAAGGGGAACTACATCATTTTCCTCTCTTCCTATTTTTTCATAGGATCACTTGTATTGATGGTTAGGGAGAAGAGTTGAGAGAGACACTATAATCCCTCAATTATAATCTCTGTGAGATGTCAACTTTTTAGTAGAAGGTGTAGGATAAGTTATTACGAGAGTTCCTTCCATCAAGGTTCTCTCCTAAAGAATCCTACTTTAAGTTGACTTCTTTTCTATTGGCCAATATATTTCATCATAATCCAATTAGTTATATTATATATGTCTTATCCAATTATAAAAGATCACAAAATCTAACATTCTCCCACTTGGCCTATTAATTAATAAGTTATAAAAGAGATATTCAAAATCAAAATAAATAAAATAAAATTATTTAAAAATAATTTTACCTAATTGGATTTTAAAGAATTTTGAAAAGTATTTTATACATAGCCATGAATTTTAAAAACAAGCCAATAAGTCCAATAAATACAATAATACTATATTAAGTTCAACTATAAATGCGAGTCATAGTAGTTGTATATCATCAATATCATACTCCCTTCTATGTATCACAACATTTTAGTCTTTCCTAATATGGTCCATAATGACCCTTGTAATTTGTCTTGTCAAGACAATCATGTTATTACATTCAACTATAAATGCATAAACATAAATGTAAATAGGATAGCAGAAATAAATAACTTTAATTAAGCAAAAAAATGTCAATAATAGCATCCACCTAAACATGCATCACCATATCTTTTATAACTTGCTCACGAGTCCCATTCTAAGAACATGTTCTTTACATATTTTACACTGTAAAGCTTTTGTCAATGGATTAGCAATCATCATAGTGGCGCTCAAGTTCTCAATTGACACTTGCTGTTTTTAGACTCTTTCTTTAACCAATACTTACTATTCTTAGAGAAGAAAACTACTACGGTGTTATCACAAAATATCTTCAGTGGCCTAGTAATTGAGTCGACTACACCAAGTCCTGAGATGAAATTTTACAACCATAAAGTTTAATTTGTAGCCTCAAAGCATGCCACAAATTCAGCTTCCATTGTTGATGATGCAATAAGCGATTGCTTTGCACTTTTTCAATAAATTACCCCACTAGCTAACATAAATACAAATCCTGAAGTGGACTTCCTACTATCAAGGTAATTCACAAAATTAGCATCTGAATATCCTGTCACTTCAAGCTGATCTGATCTCCTATATGTGAGCATATAATCTTTTGTCCCCTGTAGATATCTTATTACTTTTTTTTTGCAGCTTTTCAATGTTTCATTCCTGGGTTGCTTTGGTATCTTTCTAGTATTGTAACTACAAAACTAATATTTGGTCTTGTACAGGTTTGAGCATATAATAGACTTCCAACTGCACACCTATAAAGAATATTCATCATTTGATTCTTTTCTAAATCAATTTTCGGGCATTGGTTTTGACTGAATTTTTCACCTCTAGTAATAGGTATGTTATTGGCTGAGCAAAGCTGCATATTAAATCTCTCCAAGATACGATTAATATATTCTTTATGAGACAATCCTAATAATCCTTGAGATCTATCCCTGAATATCTCAATGCCAATAATATAGGCTACCTCATTCATATCAACCATCTTAAAGTTTTTATTGAGAACTATTCTAGTTTCGTGCAATAAACCAAGATCACTACTAGAAAATAAAATATTATCTACGTATAAGACCAATATAATAAATTTGCTCCTACTTACCTTTAGATATATACATTGATCAACAGTATTTTTCTTAAATCCAAAAGAAGTAATGGTATTATGAAACTTTATATACCATTATCTAGAAGCTTGTTTAAGGCCATAAATGGATTTCTTAAGTTTACAAGCCCAACTTTCTTTTCCTTTTTTTATGAATCCTTCAGGTTGTTCCATATATATTTCCTCATCCAAATCCCTATTCAGAAATGTTGTTTTCACATCCATCTAATATAACTCAAGATCATAATGAGCTACTCATGCCATGACGATTCTCAATAAGTCCTTTTAGAAACTAGAGAAAAAGTCTCATTATAGTCGATGCATTCTTTATGAGAAAGACCTTTGGCCACAATTTCCTTTTCCTTTGAGATCTTCTCAAAGCTG